ACTATTATAAAATTATAATATATAAAAAGTACATGTTTTGATTATATCTACAATTATATGGATATGAATTTTTAACACATATTAAATTGTAAAGAACCAGACTATATTATTCCTTTTATTCTACCTATAAAATATTATACATAGAAAAATGTATAAAGAACATTTTTAATGCATGAGGGTGTGATTATAAATTATAATTTGTATTTTTAGTTATATTGTAGTACTTATATAGAAAATTATTAAAAATTGTTACATATTTGATTTTTTACATAAAACATTAATACATAAAACAAATTTTTTAAATGTTATTATTAACCAACTTGCTGACGATGTTTTCAAATAACTGCTACATGAACATGAAATACGATATATACATATGTACATGCATATATGCATACGTATATGTAGTTACATCAATAATTAATGAAAGTGTATACAACCGTATGTTGCATTATGCATTTTTTGTACTTGTACATATTTATGTTAAGTTGTGTGTACAAATCAAATGAGAATCATGTATAGGTTCGAACGTGTACCTAAAATAAAGATTACACATAGCATTGTAAATGATTGCGAATTAGATAAGTAGTGCGAACATTACGAGCTCGCACACTTTCGGCTACGTGGACATCGAAACACTTCACTCTATTCCGTTGCGCGAAGAACGTATTATTTATGATTCTTATAAGATGGTGAGGTTAGGATGTGTTTACTTGTCAGATTCTTCGAAACATAGGATAAAACCCAAAGGAACGTAACAAGCGGACAATCTTAAGGAGAAATCATGTTTTTCCCTATCGGATGGCCACGAGTTCTAAATACGATAGAACCGGAAAAGATAACTGCAGTTGTATGCAACAGGGATAAAATACTTTTTGCTGTTTTGACAACGGATGCTCTTACCATTTGGTACTGCAAGGTACGTATTATAAATTTAGTATTGTAATTTTATTATTAATATGCTGAAAAATAAAATTACTGTCCTTTATAATATACAGTATCTAGTATCAAAAGTATCTTTATTTACTTGTCAATTGTATTTGTATCAAATAAATTTTCTTTTGGCAGTTTTATTTTATTTGTACTGTAATATGTTAATATTATTTCTGTGTAACAATTCATGGTTATAATTTGGTATATTATAAAATTTCATATATGTTTATTATTTGTAGTTGTCATTTTTTTTAATATGTTCTGTGACATTTTCTTCTTAAATAATATTGTAAAAGAACTTGAAAACAATTTATTTACTTTTCTTACAGCCATGTGTACCTATTGTATTTATCAGACGAACTGCAGATTCATTAAAGAAACATGGTGACAATATTTTGATACAATGGAGACCAGATTCTAGTATGCTAGTTATTGCGGTATGAAAAATTATACAATAAATTAAGTTATAACATGAAGAAAGGCAGTATATGGATACTTTATTTTCAGACTTCGGATAGCTATCTTCTATTTTATCGGTTGCAAGATACTAGTCCAGAAGGAAGGGGTCTCTATGAACAAAGAGACTCTCCAGTTACTAGTTTAAGAAGAGATAGTGCTGAACTTTTTATTAAAGAAGTTATCCCTTCCTTAGTTTTAACATTTGTAAGTAAATATACAAGTATATTTTTTGTCATGTGAATTATGTACTTTATCTTGAAAAATGTTCTTTATTTAGGAAAAATCAGCTTGGATAGATGGTGGAATCAGTTCTTTAGTTTGTATACGTGATGAGCTTATGGTAGCTACAAAAACAAGTCATGTAATACGTCATAAGTGGGATGGTACAGTAAATAGAGATTATTCTCTTGATTTAAGGAGAATACCATTCAGTGTAGATCAACAGATATGTACTGTAGCTGTACCACTTACTGAGAACAATGTGTATGTTACCGATATTGAATATTCTCCTTTAGTTGGTGGATTTGCAATTGTACTCAACACTGGCAAGGCAGCATTTCTCACAGCACAGTCATTGAAGTTTGATCCTAATGTATGTCAATTACTTTTGGAGTGTATAAACAAAAAGTTTATAACAATATTATTTTTTAGCAAGTTCAAGGAATTTGGGCTAGAGATATTGATGATGCTACTTGTGCAGCTGTAAATCATAAATATCGTCTCATTGCAATTGGAAGACAAAAGTATGCTTTCTTACATTTTGAGTTTATATTGAGATGCAAATTTGTATGTATCTATAATATGTGTTTTATTATTAGTTCTGAAGGTGTAGTCTATTATGTTGATGAAACAACAGGAAGTTTAGAAATGTCACATATATTAAGGTTATCCTCAAAAGATTATCCAGGAAGACCAGGTTCTGTAAAATGTTTGAGGTGGACTCCTGATAGTTGTGCCATTGCATTGGCTTGGGAAGGTGGTGGCCTGGCAATATGGAGTACATTTGGTGCTCTTTTACTCTGTACTTTAAAATGGGATTATGGTTTGAGAGTAGATTTAACACATGACAATCCATTGCATATCCATACAATGGTTAGTGAATTTATTACATTAGTTAATAATATTGATTAAAATTTTTCTATTTTGTTTCATTTTTTATATCTATTAGGAATGGTCTGCAGAAGGTTATCAACTTTGGATGTTAAGAGAATCTCCAGATCCTCCTTTGACTGAAGAAAATGGAAATGAAGAAACTAATTCGAAGTGTTCTTTAATACAGTTAGATTTTGTAAAAAGTCCTTTGACTATTAATCCTTGCATGGTAAAAATTAAAAATAATTATTACTTTCTATTGACACACTATTTGTTATTGATAATGTATTACCATTTACAGAGCCATCATGGACATTTGTATTTACAAGGTGAAGATAGATTATATTTAAATCTTGGCGGTGGAATTTCTACAAACACTTCAACTTTTCATATTGGCAGTG